CAAGTTTGTCTAGATTGACCTTAAAGGATCGGAGCAAACCACAAAAAAGGGTTGAGTGAACACACTGGTTAGAGCCTCCGCACAAGACTCTCGTATGATAGCGTAGCGTAGCGTTACGTAACGTAACGTAACGCGGGTTAACGCACAAGAAACGCATCGGTTACGGCGTTATACCAGTTTCTTGTGCGTTGATCTATGTTACGTTACGTTACGTTACCATACAAGAGTCTTGGTGCGGAGGCTCTAATCGATACGTTTCTCGTGCGTTGACCAACGTTACACGTTACGCTACGCTATCATACGAGTCTTGTGCGGAGGATCTAACGCCGTAACTGATACGTTTCTTGTGCGTTAACCCACGTTACGTTACGCTACGTTACCATACGAGAGTCTTGTGCGGAGGCTCTTATACCGTGAAGGAAAATAGAGAGAAAGAAAAGGAGAGACTGAATAAATACATGTGCATTGAATAAATTAATAAGTTCATTATACCTCAAGATATATAAATTAACTTATAATCTCCTATAATAATCACGTTGCTGAGATGGAGATCCCGACATCAGTGTCGAATAAATAAATGGCAAAACGGACGTTAGCGCTAAACAGAGACCGATTACCGGTCGATACCACACCCAAGCGAAACCGATCACCAATAAACTAATAGACATGGAGACTGACATAGTTAAAGACTCGACTGCTATTATACCGCAAAGGAACGTCGAATTTAGTATAATTGTCTTTAGTATATTTGCTAAGCACGTTGCTGCCACAAACAAGACCAACCATCCAAGTCCTCTGCAACAAAAACAAAGACATTTAATCATTAATAATTTCCTAGATAGCCAAGCGTGTCTGAGCAAAATCGCGCAAACCTGTGATTGCTTATAATGCTGGCAACTTGCCGTATATTTGCTTCAATTAGTTTCGAGTAATTTAATATTTGAAGCAACACACAGGCAACATTGGATATATGTATTGCCAACAATTTATCGGCAAGAGAACAGCATCAAATTTACTTCGCGTTGCTAGCAATATGACAGCATTGTGTGATCCTATGAATTATTACAGCAACATGACAGCAACAGCTCGAATTTTGAATCAGACGATTTTAGACCGCAGCATAAGTTACCAACAAGTTGCTGGCAAATTGCTATACAAAATTGTTATAACCTGAAGGCATCAACTTGCCGACAAATCCGGACTCAGTTGCCACAATTCTGATAGCAACACATACTATGTTGTCGGCAACATGCCAGCAACAATGCAGACACGTTGCTGTCTGGGTTCTTTTATAGTTTTATAGTATCTAATATTACATAATATTTCGTATGTGTATATTTATTTCTAAAATAATATGTAATATAAAGTATAGTTTAATTAAAAATCAAATTTGACTTCAAATTTGTAATGTATAATAAAAAAACTTTCATTAAAAGATTTAAAAAATCAGGCTATTATCAACGATAAACATTTGCATTCATTTTTAAATAAAATATTTATTTTTATTCAGAAATTACCTAACAGTCCAGGTTCGCCAATAATTATGCACGTGCTCCAAATGAAACATCTGATCCACTGACATTTTATGCCTTCGTTGAAGCAAGATTTCTTCACTGTGAGATGTGTAATATGGTTTTATGGTGTCTTTTTCCAACAAGCCGACTACCGAGTAAACATCCCCGTTTTTACCCGCATAGGAAAATTGTATTCTGATGTCTCCTACCTATGAACAAAACAAGATATATATTATACACAGGCCGGTATTCATAGTCGGTTCTTATTTCAAGATTGTCTTAAGTAATGTCTTAAGATGCTAATACGACTCTGTGGCCAGTATTCATAGTCGGATCTTATTTCAAGACAGTTTAAGTAACGAAACAAAGTAAAAATTTTAAATTTTACAGTGCAAATTGAATGATGGTCTGAATATAAAGAAACTCCAACAGTCCTTTAAATTTGACAAGGTAAAAAATTTTCTTCTGGAAGAAATTTTTTGCAATTTTACATCAAGATTGTCATTGAATTTTGTTCAAAGTGAAGATCATGAATTTTTAGTTAGTTCCGAATATTTATGTATTTGGAGAAAGAGAACTTTTTGCAAAAGCCATACTTGTGGATTCCACAAATCTGCACTGTGGTAATACAGTCCAGAGTGCATTTTAATGTTCTTTCGTTCTGGCCGCTCGTCACTGGTGATCTCTACAAAGTCACTGAATTTCTTCTTCAATTCCAAACCGAGCGTGAAAGCACCTATCTTTACTTCATCTGCGATTTGCACCTGACTTCTGATTGGCATTTCCTTCGGATTATGATGACCGGTACGAATGTAGAAGTGATCTGAGTCCACGAGTTTATCCTTCCATTCCATCGTATAATAGTAATGTTTTTCGTCCTCCGTTATTCCACTGAAACTAAAAACGTAAAGATTTAATATATTTGATATATACTAAAATGCAATAGAATTTTTATCTAACATGGAAAGCTCAATAATAAACTTTATTAAATAAAGTTACAAATTAAAGAAAATTTTTATTTTTAAACATGGATTTTGATTGCACGCTGAGTCTTTTTTCGCTACCTTTGCTCTTCTTCAATTTCAATCCACTGGTACATCTGTACCCTTCTCTTTAGCTTCACGCTTGGTATAACAATTCCGTAATCTGGTTCAGTTAATGGCTCGGAGACCAATATGGAGCCCGACAGATGTATCAAGCGACCCTCGTATTCAGGTGACAACATCATCGAATTAGGAAGCACAACTACATTATGCAGAGCCTCGTCCAAGGAATGCGCCACTTTCACGGCTCTCCCCTGAAATGGCACAGAAAATGTACAATGAAATTATGGAAAATCAATCGGATGGTATGACAGAAGTACTACTCGCAAACCTCATTCCAAAATAGAAGATACATTCCAGTAGCGAACATGATGGATCCGATTATAGCTGTCAGCCATGACTCTCTGAATTGCTCCGAGATTGTCATCGGCGTTTGATTCACGGAGATAGCTTGTCTTCCATTAAGACAATTTTGGCGAATACCATCCGCGTTTTCCCTCTGTGGCTGGCCATTCTGCTACAAAGTGTACGCTCCGCGAGTCTATCTTATTCTATTAGTAATCTTAATAATTAACGTAAGATGTGATAATAATATTCTTATAGAGCAAAGGGAATGTACCTACATTCGCTCGATACATCCCGACGCCGTGCCGGTCGTAATCTTAGAGGCGGAGGGCGGAGCTCGGGAGCTGACAAAGAGGTTTGTTCTTTATTGCTACACTGGAGACTGCACTGCACTGAACGGAACTATGGCCGTGACGTGACCGCGTAAAGGCCCTTGCACAATGCCAGGCAACAGGAACCAGGAAATAATCAAAAATTCGTTAATTACAACCTAAAAAATTCGAATGCTATGGATTGGCAATAGGCAATAGGCACAGAATTTTCAACGTGACAGAAATGTCTATTTTCGTTTATTCTGTATTTTTAACAATGGCTGCGTTTCGATTCACCACAAGCAAAAAGACTAACCAGTCGTCTTCTTGACCACAAGTATGTACCTACTGAAAATCTATAGTTTACGTTTACGTATGTATGTACAGTCGTTCACGGAAAGGTTGCAACACTTTTTTTTTGATGATTTTTGGAACGCGCAGAAATTTTAAGATCGCGATCTGCCATCTCTGTATACACGTAGTGAACGGTTATGATAGCTGTCAAAGTGAACCAGTGAACTATACAAGGTGGAGGTTCACGAAATGTATCTTGTGCGGCGCGGAAAATCTTAAGATATCAACTGGATACTGTAATAGTAGGGGAGCCCAATGGGGGATTTGGTGATTTACTCGAGCGCGACAGATTAACATATAGGGGGATCCTTGCACCCTGTTGAGTACCTCCACTATATATAAGCCCTTAATATAGGATCGCGCGTCTAGGGCAGCCGATCAGAATAGTAAAAAAAAATCGATTGTTAAAAATACTCGAGCGCGTCAGATTAAGGTAAGGTGGGTTAATAACATGTAGAAAAGTGTGCATTTCAATAATCTGACGATTTGAGCGTGACGTAAGGGAGTGGGAGGGTCACAAACTTGCAAAAAAAAAACGTCACCTTGACATTTTCGAGCGCGGTCGAATTTTTTTTTATTTTGAAGGAAATAATTCAAGAATAACGGAAAAAATATAATCTGACGATTTCCACAAGCCGAAGTAGCACAAATCGTCAGAAAAGTTTAGTGCGTGCAGCTGCAGTGAAGCATGTATTCCCCACTCCGCGTCTCTATTTCCCTTTCACTTTTTATCGATCTCTTACTGGGTCTGTTTCTTTTAGCTGCACTGACTGAGCTAATTCACTCCAACTTACTGCACTAGTGTGCTCCAGTTCAGCCAGTGCAGGTAAAAGAAACAGACTTACTCTCTCGCACCGTCCCCACGCTACTCCGTTTTCCGTCGCCATAACGATATCACAGCTGATCACATGTTCTGTAGGATCACACGCGTTTTTTTTTATTTAAGTTTTTTTTTTATTTTACTATTTTTTCTGTACTTATATATCATAATTGAAAAAAATAGATTTTTTTATTTGCATTCTATTTTCTATGCATTTTACTTGTCACACTTAGTAATTTAAAATAAAAATTTTTTTTTAATTAAAAAATTTTTTTTTTAATTTGTCAGATTAAGAAAATCCCTCCAAATAATCGTCAGATTATGGGTCAGCGCGACTAGGACATCAAGCTGAATCACCTGTATAATAATCTGACGCGCTCAAGTATTTCAAAATGGCGATTTTTTTTTGCATTATCAAGAAGCCGCCATGAGCTTGCGTCATGTCCGAATCGTCAGTCTTTTGAATGGGAGCTTCTTTCGGGTTCACTTAACATCCTCTCCGAATATCTGACGCGCTCGAATAAATTTTTTTTTTTCCCCGTTTTTAACCGTTCCGTACAGCCACCCCCACCATGCAAACCGTCAGATTAGCATACCTCCAATATCAGAGACACGTGGGGCATATACACTATCAATATCTGACGCGCTCGAGTATATTCATGTGACTATTTTTTTTTACATTTTTGAAAACCTGTAGACGCTTCCCCCACCGGTGAAAGGGTGTACATTATATAACCTTTTTTTCTTTCTACCATCTAATCTTCAAAATCCAATAGGTTTCTACGACGCTCGAGTAAATCACCATTTAGCCCGCTGGGCTCCCCTACTATAATTGATGCTGTTTGTGCAATATTACGTTACACACGCCCGCCCATTTTTTTTCCACGCAATATAAATATACGCGCGTGACGGTGATGATGATGATGAAGCAAACGGATTCTTGACCGCGCGCGAAACCAGTATTCTCACGCGCTGCGCTAGCTCGCTCGCTCGCTCATTCTTCCATTCCGTCGTTCTAAAAATAACACATCCGCACGCGCGAAAGCACGGCCAGTTTTCCGTTCGTAATGAATGGATTCCTTCGTCGCGGCACACAAAACATCGCCGCGAATTCACGTAGAAAATTCCCTTTATTTACTTCGACACAATTCGTTCCGACGGCAAATGAAATTTTTAGTTTTGAGATGTCAATTTTGCACTGTTCCATGGACACTTGTAATAGCACTTATAACTTATAACAGCACTGTTCCATGGACAATATATGTACATTATAACGTGACGTTAATGATTAATGATTATAAATATTGATAAACAAACTAGAAATAAGACACGTCGAGTTACCGCTATTATTAGAAATCGCAGATATCAGAGGAATGTACAAACTCTAAAATTAGAAATGTTTTGACAAAATTAGAATTGTTTCGAGATATTGTATGAGATCTAATAACGAGTTTAATAACGACTATACTTCGCGAGAAAGCATCGCTCAAATGAGTTGGCGAGGGAGGCAACACCCGCGATTGATGATCAAGCGCGCGGCGCGCCCTTTTATTGGCTGCTGACGGTGTTTGTTACATAAAAATTCTGACTGACTATGTTTTTCTTGTTTTAAATAATATTAACTAATTGTATGCAAAATTTTAGATTTTCCTGCTCGTCCCTTGTTCTTTGATCGTTCGGCTTAATCAACATGTAATTCTTCTCGGATACATTCTGCTGAATTGAACGCTTATTCCTCTCGTGGACATATTGACTTGCTTGCACGTGAAATTCGATAACATTGTTTCTGGTATAGAACTTCTTGTGCTTTCATTCTTTACTTTTAGTTCGTAAATTGCGCTGCCCCTTAGTTCTTAGTTTTATATATACTATTTTGTTCTCTTTAGAAATACTGCTCCTTATCTTATTCTTTTTCACTATGTTTATAACTCGGTTTATAATTAGTCAAGTTGCGTTAGTTCTTAGTTTTTTACAGTGTATAATTTTGAGATTGCTGGTTGCTTGCCTTGAGAGAGAGAGAGAGAGAGAGAGAGAGAGAGAGAGAGAGAGAGAATGAATGAATAAATGAATGAATGAATGAATGAATGAATGAATGATATAATTAGCTTTCTCAGCTATTTATACATACTACATATTTATACATACAACAGAACGTACTCTTTTAGCTCACGTTTGAACATTTTTAGTTCTTTGCATCTTTTAATTTCGGCTGGCAGTGCGTTATACATTTTTACTCCTT